GTATATATATATGTATGTATGTATGTATGTATGTATGTATGTATGTATATATATGTATATATGTATATATATATGTATGTATGTATGTATGTATGTATGTATATATATGTATATATATATATATATATATATAAGGCCAGCATCTCCAAAAGAACACTTGTATGTATGCCCACAATCATATAAAGACAGCATCTCCAAAAGAACACTTGTATATATGCCCACAATCAAAATTAATCTCCGGAGGTTTGGCCACTACTCATGATAGTATTAGATATACACTAGCCATAACATTTTGTTCCATTCATACTGTATCACTCATGTATGTCGTGCACACACCACAAACATCACTGGTTGGGTCACATAGATATCAATTTTTAGAAATTCAACTGATCCGGGTATAATATGTGTACGAATTGTCCTTCATAGTCACATTGTGCGTGTACGCGCGCCCGGATGCAGAAATCCTATAAATACATGCACATACTTGCGTGTGTATAGAGTAGCCCCAACTCACCTTGAGAGCGCGACTCATGCTGGATATTCACTCTAGATGCACATGCACATACTTACATGTACTTGAGTATAGTTTACTCATCTTGAGAGCTCGACATGTCCTGAATATTCACTTGAGATGCACATGCACATTCTTACAAGTACTTAATGTATAGTTTACTCACCTTCAGAAGTAAAGTTTACTCGCCTTCAGAAGTAAAGTTTACTCACTTTCAGAAGTAAAGTGTACTCACCTTCAGAGCTCGACTTGTCCTGGATATTCACTCTAGATGCACATGCACATACATACCAGTACTTAACGTATAGTATACTCACCTTCAGAAATGAAGCTTACTCACCTTCAGAAGTAAGGTTTACTCGCCTTCAGTAGTAAAGTTTACTCACCTTCAGAAGTAAGTTTTACTCACCTTCAGAAGTAAAGTTTACACACCTTCAGAGCTCGACATATCCTGGGTATCCAGTCTCCACCGTACCCACGCTGTGTCTCCAGCCGATCACTCCACTGCAGATGGCACAGTCCATCCACAGCTACCAGCTTAACAGGCGCGTCATCAGATGCTGAGTGGCCAGAAGAAATGTACGATTATTTATTTGTCACCCTGACATAGCCGAATGCCCTATATATTATTGGTATTGTGATCGGTGATATGTATGTAACGGGGCCCTTAATACATACTACTCGTCTGTGTATGTGGTACATATCACATATCTGCAGATACGACAACCCCACCGCTACCCATTTTGAGAAATACATATACGTCTGTTTCATGTGTACTATGTGTATTGATTTGTTTAGGTAAAATACGCCACGGAACCTTCTACGCTTCTGTGTCATGTGGAATGTGTCACATGAAACATGGCATGCATCATACATCCATTGCAGATGACTCATCCCGGTCACCTCTGCCAACAAATTGACAGTTTTGGCGTGGTTATACAATAGTTATGCACACATCAACAACAGAGCGTTGATAGGGACGTACACGGCTACTACGAGAGGAAAAGAAACCTACAGCATCTGATGAGACAGGATCGAACACACACAGCAAGATACACTCCTGATCGTAGCTTCTGGATAACAGACCATACATATATCTGCGAGGTGCAGCTGCAAAATGGGTACAAACAGAGTATATATATATATATATATATATATATATATATATATATATATATATATATATATATATATATATATATATATATATATATATATATATATATATATATATATATATATATATATATATATATATATATATATATATATATATA